CTTTTCGTTTCACTTATTTTCTCGCATTCACGTATTTTATATTTATAATTAGTAGATATTTTAACACGTCAAAAAGTATTTGTACTCTTTGGGTACTGTTGTATTTACTCTAACGCATAACTTATGGAAGAATTGCACCCGTGGGGCAACATTTAGCGTTCGGTACGTGTACTCGAGTAATCGTATTACCCTAGGTACTCGGTTACCGGATTTCGAGAGCTTTAGTGCACGCTCGTCTTCGCGTCACTCCGAAGCCTCGCAATAGTCTCTGTCAAGCGACGGACTCTTCTCGTTGCAAATTGCTGCAATTTCCCTTTGAGAACCCGCACCGAAGACAAATAAAATATTCAACGAGAAATAATAAAAGTCGATCGGAGGATACTTGTGACGAGCCGCGGAAACGTGGAAAGGATACTCGCGCTAATTTAATCAGAACGTTCATTCCTCTCCATCGTTAGGCGAACTACCTCGTTCCCGAATATCGGGGATTCGATCTCTTCAAATTTTATAACGGTGAAACGTAGTCAATTTCACTTGATTCTTGATCCAAACTTCAATAATAGCAACATCAAAGTTTTAGATACAATGTTATCAAATCTAATCCAAAATTCAAAAGTGTTTATTATACGTGTGTAGACCCATAGAAAATTACAACTTCTTTTAAAAAATTTCAAGAGCAACTTTCGAACGACGACCACAGGCAGCTGCCGATGCCCATTTATTCGTATCAACCTTGACATTAACGAATACATGCAAGAATCGACGTCGTCCGTGAAAGTAATAATTATTTGAAAAAATTAAAACAGGAACGATACCGTGTAATTATTTCGTTTGCGGATTCGTGGAATTCTGGAGCGCCTCGCGCATACGCCGGTAATCGTATCGATATCCGAGTCGATCACGGAGGAATGCACGGCGTCGACCGATCATGTGAGACGTCGTAATTGCGGTAGAATTTCCGCGCGCGTAACGCACGGTAGCCAATGCTCGCCGATCGGCCGCAACGATCGCGATTTGTTCGCTGTTATCGAGGATGCGGTCGATTTCCCGCGAAAGTTGCTCCCCGATCGATCGATCGATCGCGCGGACACCGTAACGTCCGACGTCCGCGCGAACATATTCCTAGATTAGAATCCTTTTTCAAATTTTGTAAATTCATGCAAATTTATACCGCGACAAATATAGTTCGTTATAATAATGATAATATGCAAGCGTATGTAGCGTTAATAAATGTTCAAAAGGGGGGCTCCGGAGAAAGTCACCGAACCTAGTTATTTTGCTACGTATTTTGTAATATTGTACTTTATCGACACGTAAATAAACGAAATATTTTATAACTTTCGCCAGCAGCGAGGGAGATATTTTTATTTTTATTGTCTATTTTACGGATCAAAATGTTCTCTCGAGAGCAAACAACGGTTAACAGACGCAACGTTCGAGGAGCTCGTTCGGCGGTTTCGTCCGATAATATCGGACGCCGGTGATTTTCGGGATTCTGAACGGTGAACCACGATCGGAATGTACTTCGTGTGGTGTCGTTACGTATGCAAATTTCGACGGAGGGAACCAAGTAGAAGAAGCTCGTTCGTGGAAGCGTTACGTAACGCGGAGAGGGTCGAGTTATTGCGCCTCGCGGACCGTTTCTGGGTTCGTCTTTGCTTAATTAATCTCGACGATCAGCGAGACGTCTGCCATAACTTTTAATTATCAGAGATCAACGTTCGTCGTCGGTCAGCTTGCTTTCCTCCGGGTTAATAATATCCGTGGAACCTTAGTTCACCGTTCGTTGGACGTCATGCGATACGTCGACATTCGATTTCAATCGATCGAATCGGAGTCGTTGAAATAATTTGTTGAGAATTCGAAGATCTAAATTTAATCGTGATATTTTCAGATACCGAAATATTAGATCGTTTTGTCGTATTTGATCCGGACTTTGGATGTTTTCTAGCCGCTTCGAGATCGTAAATAATTTCTGTAACTACGTTACGCTAGACACGATCGGGTCTGTGGCGGCGGATTTTGATCACGAAGCTAGATACACCGTGATCGTTTGTGTAGTTGCGTGATATAAAACCGCCGGTTCGCCGCAATGGCGACACATGTAACGGCTCGATGGCAACCGTCTCTAGCTCAGTGAGTCATTCTCCCATTCGTGTGCTTCAGCGAGGAATTTAACGGGCTTACGGTAAACGGGCCCAATAAATAATAAATCGTACGGGCCCCTCGTCGAAGCATCTTTCCATACGTAACAATCCGTACCTTCGATCTCCGATTCCGTTCGCGACAGAGATACGAAGATCGCGTATTCTTCATTGAGTCTCCGTGTATTTACAGTTACTCGTACTCGTACGCTATAAACGAAAGGAAACTCGACCCTTATGGATTCTTCCCATTATTTTGACCAAAAGTCTTGTACTTCACCCTGTCCATGTATGGGTGACGTAGTAGTCAAAGAGTTAAGGGGGCTGTAAAAATAAGTTTTACGACAAGTTATGGGCACACTAGTTTCCAATTGCCTAAAAACAAAAATCCAAGAGCTATTCCTCGAAAGTAAACATACGGACTTGAAATTACCGCCGCGCTTAACGCGTCAAGGAGTATGTACACAGCACATAATCTTGGACGAACACGAAGGAAGTCCACCGTGGAGCGGAATAAACGACGGGTGGAAATGGTGTATCGTCGATGGTCGGAGAAAATGCTTGGCTGGTGCACCGACTGAGACACGGTAATCGCGTAACGATAGCCGCTTATAGTATATAGAGAGTCGATCCAAAGCAGTGGCGACGTAACCGCTCGGGTAATAGTCCGGTTACGAGTTTACGAACGACGGTGACGGCGGATATTTTCGCCGGTGTTACGGTGGTAGCGCCTTCGAAACCGGTTGCCCTGACCGTAGACCCGCGTATAATTGCGAACCGTGATTGTCGTCGTTATCGGGTCCGCCTAATCGTCAGGACCTGAGAACGATTTTAGAGACTGGCCCTAATCGCGGGATAAATGGCCGCCGTTCGGCTGCGATGGGAGTCGGCGTTGCCGCGGCAAAAGCCGCGTTTCCAAGATATACCGGGCACCGAGACGTTTCCACCGCTAGCATGTTCGCTGGAATTACGCGCGTTACGAGGAAACCAGCAACGAGTCTTCCTGTACACCTGTCGCCTGTCGGGCTCAACGGATCGACCGGATAGCGAGAAATCTTCCGTGGCGAGCAATTCCCGTCCAGGGATCGATTTTTCATTCCGGCCGTGGTCGTTTCTTTCCGTTCTCCTTCGACTGCAACCAGAGACGAGGCGGAATTTTATTCGGATAATCGTATATTAATTGCGTCTCTGAAGTACCCGAGTAATTCAAGGTGATCTCGAGGGGCTTCAAGAATGGTGCTCGTTAACACTAAACCTACCACGACTTTCCTAGTGATATACGTAAAATGAATTTTAGAATATTCACTTCTGTTAATGCGTATTATAAATAGTTAAACTTTAGACGCGTGCAGTTCCGAAACTACTAGTGTTTTGTCAATAATTAAACCGCGGTTAGAAGCGGCAAGGCCTCTCCTTTAAAATGGCTTTTGGTTTTTGTCGATCTGACTTTCCGTTTTCGAGATATCGCAATTTATGTAAAGAGGTAATTTTTTTAATTCGACTATCGCTGTCTTCGTCTGACACGTCTGGCCTTCTTGTCGCACGTGCGTGACTGCTAAGGTCAATGAACTCGCGCGACCACAACGAAACGTAAACAAACGCTTCGAACCCTTATATCTCCGGAACTAGCCACCGCATCGACTTGAAATTAAAATCGCTATATCTCCGGAACTAATAAAGCTATCGACTAGTTCGAGCGCTCATTTTAAAGGGCATTTCATCCTCTATCCGATGAACATAACTATTGTTATAATTTATGTTATCTTCTACGTTTATTTTGACATTTACTTTGACGTTACATACCTAAAGAAGTTTCAGCAATTACTATTGATTATAAATGGTTTATTTAATTGAAAATGAATGGAAAGAAAGACTGGTCCAAAACTCATATCATTAACAAAATCCCTCGAATTCGAATTATTGCTCCGTTCAACGCGTAACAAAATTTTATTTTATAATTCGTATCGTAATTGTCGTTGAGCTGCTCGAGTAGAGTTGAATAGAGAACGAAACGAATGAAATTAGCATCCCGGGGAGTCAGGGGGGACGCGTCGAAATGGCAAAAAGGGGTCCGAGTCGCCTTTATCCGCGGGTGGACAGACATTATAACGCGTTGGAAGCAGCCTCCGCTGGTTTTCGCAACTGCGGCCAGATCGAGTGGATGTAAACGGCTTGTAAGATCATAGTTAACTATTAGCGGAGAGCTATATACGTCGGCGTTGCGGTGGATCGGGCCTGTATACGTCGTGCCTGGCTATCGATACGCGATTACCGTGTCTCACCTGGTAGACAAGTCCTGTGTGCACGTACCACTACGATCGGCACGCCTGATACCCGTTTCTGCATTCTCTCCTCAGCCGCTGCACGACGCCTCTGCTCTGCAAACGGAACGTCAACATGGCGCTTCTTCTTCGTCTTTGATTGTTGTTATTATTAAATCTCGCGTTGGCTCCAACGTCCATCGTCGCCAGAACGTTCTATTTCTATGCAATAATTATCAACTTTTAACCCTCAAGTGGGGTCTCAATCTCAACTGAATTGTTTTACTTAATTTTGATTTTTACCAAATTGGTAAATGGGAAATCAACTTTCCTTTGAAGCATTTAAAAAATAATCAACTAAGGGAGGATTACATTGACACATATTATACAATATTAGTTTAAACTTGTGGAGGTTGAACATCAGGGTTAATAAGGGTTCAACCGAGTATACCAACTAAAACAAACGTCGAATTATCAAGTACCTCCCTCGCAATCCGCGACACGCGTGCCACCCACCGCTTCCCCGAAAAGTGGGGGAGAATTGTACAACACGTCGACATCGAAGCTAAGTCGGTTCTCCGTTTCTCTGTTGCAGGACTAAGCCGCGGCGCGAAGGACGCGAGGACCCACGGACCGGACTGTAAATACGCGCTCCAGAGAGGTCCTGGGATTTATTAGCGTCGTCTCGGCTCCGGGAGGAGTGGGGGAGGGCCGCGAGGTCACGGGTAACCGGGAACGAGGAGTACGCGGGAGCATCGAGGACGAAATTCGCTCCTCGCGAAGCGTGGAAGCGCGAAATACCGTAATGGAGGAAGGAAGCAAAGAATCAGGGGCGACTCTCCTCGTGATACATAAATCGTCTTCGTTCCCCGCGAGCTGCCACTGCGAAAGACGGACGAGGGATGGCGCGAGTCGGGCCGAGGGCGGCTTAGAGGAGATTTAGGAATTAGGGGAATTACGTCGAAGTGGCTGCTTACGCACGAGTACTCCGGGAGGGAGCAGACTTCCCAGAGGACGTGCGCTGAATCGCGTCCCTGGATGCGGGTAAATTCACCGAAGCCTGAGAAGCGTCGTGATCCCGGACGAGACGCGGAACTGGCTTGGATATTCGTCCATCCCAGCAACCCCTTGTCACCGAAGAAATCGACGAATCGACGTCGGGGCTTGCTCGACGCTATCGACTGCCCGGCTGTACGCGCAGATCTCGCGTCCCTTCCCGAGCCACCGATAGAAATTACATTTTCATAGACATTTTCGTCCCATTCGTTCGCGCGAATATGCCCAACGTTTTCGCGTAGCGTCTTCTCGACCAAAGTCCAATCTCCCGTCGCGAGGGGTAAGTCGATTCGAGATTTCAATTCTGTAAATAAGAGGGTTGGTCCGCGTCCGGGGATCGATCCTTGTCTTGTACATACAGCTCCGGGAACGGAAGGACGCGCCTCGTCCCACGTCCAACGACTTCCGGGGAGCCAGGAACTCAGCGAACCACGGGCAACGTGCAAAGTAGCAGCCTTCCGGGACGACCTGGACGACCAGGGTGAACCGCGTCTGTTCGTCGCGACTCGTGTACGGAGCCTCGTGTCTCTCGACCCGGTCGCGCGCGACTCTCTACCTGAGAAGACGTCGAGGATCGTCCTCGGGGCGATCGCCTAGGCGCTACGAGATACTCTATCAAGTTAAACTACCGCTAACTCTTTACTTATCTCAATGGAACGTTAACGTGTACACGAACGCGCGGATCTCGTCCGTGATACGCTATAATCGTTTTCGAGAATTTCGAGGGATTCTAGAAAGGGACTATAGGCCGTTGAAATCATCGAAGCCTGCATCGTCGATAAAGTACGTTAAGATCGGTGTTCTCCAGCGACTACTTCCTCTTCCAATCGTTTCTTCCCCGCGCAGCATGCTTACGTTGTTGGGAGAAATCACGCGACGCCGAAGAGGCAGCCACGACTGGACGAAAGATCAGACAAAATTTGCAAAAGAATCCTCGATCGTGGTACCTCGACGATAGCTCGTCCGTCGTGGGCGCCATCTTGGCGTCGGGCGACGAGAGTGGGGGAACTCTAGGGGACTCACGGGGTCCCAGAAGACTCGAGGTGTGGCTCCTCCACGGCAGAGTATGGGAAGCTACGTTAGCAAAAATATTGGAAAATACATCGTGTGAATGGCCGCCGGCTAGAATGGAACGGCTAAACTAATTAAGAGTAAAATTCGTCCTTTTTCGCGCGGGCGCCGTGCGCTCACGATCCACGGAGGACTTCCGGTCCCCCTGGCGTCGGCGCGCGGAGAACTCGTCGACCGCGACGCGCGATCTACCTTTAATTAGCATCGTACTTAATCCGCGTTACTTTCAATCTTCTCTTGTGCAATATATTTGTTTAGGCGTACGTTTGTTCGCGATCGCCGTGTTCCGCGCGGGTCGCCGATCGTGACGCGTGTCCGGTCGACGGGGGCGCGCGGCGCTCGAGATTGTTGATATTTTTTTATATTATATATGTATATCGTACGAATTCGTCCCTCCTTTCGAGAAGTCCGTTCGTCGACGAGTGAATCGGGCCGCGACGCTTCGCGAGGACAGAGAGCGTGAACGAGCGAGAGAAAGTAGCAGCGAATGAGAGGAAATAATGAAAATGAAAAAAAAAAAAAACAATTACGAAGAAATAATAAAATAAATCGACTATCATTTTGTACTTTGGCATATGCGAGCGTGTGTGCGTGCGCGTCGAGGAGGGAGGGTATAAAAGAGGATGAACGAGAGAGAGAGAAGTTGTACATTGTTTTGTAAAGAGTACATTTATTTATATCTGTGATAATGGGCAAAGTTAAAAAGAATAAAAAAAATGTGAAAGATCGCGTGGAGAGACGGACAGGTAGCGAGTGGATAACGTGGAAGGGAAGAGGACATTTTGTAACGATGTGTCTCGGTGTTGCTCTGACGGAGACGGTCGATGCTCGTGCATTCGTTGACACATATATCGTATAGAAATAATTCTAGACTCGATAATGGTTTTGTAAATACAAATCGATGCGTAGCCCAAGGGACACGAGGGTCGAGCGTACCTTTTCCCGCGGATCGCGGTGGCAGGTAAACGATAAAACAAGAACGGAAACGAAAATAGGGGTAAAACGAGCGTGCAGCCTCGTGTACGCGATCGCACCCTCGTGAGAAAGAAGAGAGAACTATTTGTTGTGAATATACATAATACAGGTACTAGGTATATAGATATATAAATATAAATATATAAATATATACATACTATGATTAATAGGTTCTATTTGGTTGTTCGTACGAATTCAATTGTAAATTAATTAAACTGTACATAGTTCTGAATGTGAATATAGACAGAATATATCTATTATTATTATTATTATTATTATTATTATATTAATTTTATTATTATTGTCTACATCATATTATGATTATGATTATGATTATTATTATTATCATTATTATTATTATTATATTATTATTATTGTCTACTACCATTATTCATTATATTAAAAAGGAGACTATTATGTTGTACGTTTTCACTTTTCATTTTCTTTTTTATTTTTTAAACCTCGATCTTTTCAGGACGCTTTCGGTCCCCCTTCATCCGCGAATCGACTTGAACTTCGCCTGTAGCAATGAATGAAAATACGAAATAAACAATATGTTCAATTTTCATAATCGAGAATCACACCAGAAATTCACAGTCGCGTAATTTTTTATCGATTGGATGCGATAGAGTCTCGATCATTGCAGGAACGTGCAACTATCGAGGTAATCGATCCAACCAGAAGCTCCAATTAAATCATACGTCTCTATCGCACCTACGACCTCTCTCACCTGTTCTTTCCAGCTCTAATTTCTTATCGTAATGCATAACGAGGGGGCTTTTAAAAAGTTTGGAAACCTACCGGTGTACGTAATTGGCATTTCACGGCGTTGGACGAGGCGGACTTCGAACGTGTTCGACGCCAAGGCCGTCGTCGGCGATTATTTTCGGTCGGACGAGTATTTTCGCGCGACGATTCGCCAGTCGAGACACGCGCGACTCGAAACACCGAAAACGCGTCGCGGCCACTCCGACATTCCACAATGGGGACGTCTGCGTTTTGAATATTCGAACAATGGCACTTTTCGCGGTGGGCGGAGTTCCAACGAAAGCACACAGTGCCTCGAGCAAAGGACAATGGATCGCGGGCTCTCCCTCTTCCTCCCGGCTAACTGAAACAAGCCTCCCTCCCTTCTGGACGTCGAGGCACGACGGATTCGCAATTAATTGTGACGCGAATTAATTTCAGCCTCGTCTTTGGGTACACGACTGCATTAGATAGATAATAAATTTTCGATTCAATTTTTCATTATTATATGCGTTTCATCCCCTTCATTTTAAATATAAAAATTAACCCCCAACTGGTAATGTATATTTACGATTTTCGATCGTGTGTCTGGCGATTGTGAACATTACATAACAACTCTTTCGTTTCCTTATCAGTGTACTTCCGGTCATTGTCTTGTTGAAACGAATATATTTCATTCCTACGCGGTTTAATTGCAATTTCTTGTAAATTATTACACGATAGCTCGATATAATCGTTAGCATTCATTGTCCCACCTCTAAATGCAACGTTTCCAACGCCAGTATGCATCGTAGTGCATAACATGGTACGTCACTTAGCGTTAGATTTTCTCCAAACAAACTTTCCATCCGAGCCAAATATATCGAAACGTAGTCTCGTGGAAAAAGATGACGTTTTTCCAAAATTCTTCGTCGCCTCGCGTCTACCATCAATAAATAAATTTAAAGAATTATCAGCTGTGGAAAATTCCCATCCAAAAAGTACAAACTTCGTTCCTATCTTCCTACGCTTCTCCCGAGTATGTAATTTCTAATTTCGAAGCGCTTTATAACCCCTTGAGAACCAGGTCGCCGATCCTCTATTTGCAACGGGACGAAAGATAAGTAGAGACATCCGCGTGAAGTTAATAACAATAATTCTGGCTGCCTCATCTGCCAAGTCGTCTAGTAATATTCGCGTTTAAATAAAGTCGATATATATGGAAATTGGTTGTACGTTAGCCGTGCATTATTTTACCCGATAAGATCGGAACATCGATCTCGAATAATTACGAGAATCGATCGGCGTACAAGCCACCGACCGTCGGCGAAACGGCCGGGCAATTATCGGCGTCGCAAATTCATTACGGGCCAATTTTGCGTCGGTTTATCGGTCGCGGTGCGCGTCAGGTGAAAACGGAGGGGCGCCGGAGCGTCGCGGTATCGCGTTCCTTCGCGCACGGTCGCTTTGATCGCCCGTGGCATTATTTACGGATCGGATTTATGCGCGAAAACTTCCCACGAAGATTCAAGGCTCGCCGCGTCGTGACGTATAAATCACTTCGCCGCTTGTCGCGCGTCCGTTCGGAGAAAGCTCTCCTTCGGGCCCTGTCTCTTTTTTCGCCACGCAAAAACGCGGAATTGTCTACTCTGTTCTCGGCCATTTATCCTCCGTCCACCGCGGGGCAGTTCTTAATCGCCAACGACGAGCAAAAATTGTTTAATTTATAATTACTCTTCGAGATAATGGTTTATCTGAGAAAAAGAAGTTCGCATTTTTGGAGCACCAGCAAAGTAGACTCCAAAGTTTTTTAAATGGAGAAATTTATTTTTAAATTCGTGGATGAATCAAGATGGAGGTATCGGTCGATTTTGCATTGAGTTATTTAAGAGAGTCTGGCTTCTCT